TTGAACTGCCAGCCTTCTGGTTAGTAGTCAAATGCCTTAGGTACTACACCACCAGAGCATATACATGTATTTTCTCCTTCCCCTCCCCGGTAACCCACATTTCCTTCCATATATAATCCTTCCCATGACTTTTTACAATAGTGGGCTCATACAATATTTGTCCTTCTGTGATTGACTTAGTTCACTCAGCATAATGTCCTCTAGACTCATACACATTATGCAGTGTTTCAGATGCAACATTATTCTTTAGTAGTGTTGCATAGTATTCCGTTGTGTGTATGTATACAATTTGGTTATCCATTACCTTGGCTGAGGGGCACTTAGGTTTTTCTAGCTCTTTTGCTATTGTGAATAGTGATGCGATGAACATGAGTGTGTCCTCTCACTTCTTTAGGATATCCACCTAGTAATGGGATTGCTGGGTCATATGATATTTCCAACTTTTCAAGAAATTGCCATACCAATTTCCACAGTGGTTCTATCATTTCAGTCCCACCAGCAGTGTGAGTCCCAATCTCTCCATATCCTCACCAGCATTTATTTTCTGTCTTGCTGAATTCTGCTATCAGTGTAGGGTGAGATGGTATCTCATTGTTTTGATTTACATCTAACAGCTAATGATTGCAAACATTTCTTCATGTGTTTATTGGCTCCCTAAGTATCTTCTTTGGTGAAGTGTCTGTTCATGTCTTCTGTCCCCTGCTTAAGATATTTAAATTTTTACTGTGATTTGGGTTAAAGTTTACAGAGCAAATTCATTTTCTATACAGTTCATATACATTTTCTCATGACATTGATTGCAATTCCCTACAACAGTTAACAGCTCTCTTCCTACTTCCTCCCACAGGTACCTCTTCCTTGTGTCCTTCCCTCCCATGCATTCCCACCCCAAGGTGTCTCCCTGTACAAACACTGCCCTTCTGTTCTCCCATGATTGATTGCTTCAAGTAGTGTATCTACCTGATGTAAATGTTCAGCCCTTATCACTGTCTGGCTGGCAGCCACAGGAATGAGTTCAATTCCAGACCTGAAGGGTAGCTAGGGGCCATAGTCTCAGGGGCCTTTCCAGACTCTATCAGACCAGCAAACCTCGATTTTTATGATTTTGAGTTTTGTTCCACATTGTTCTCCCACTCCATCCAG